ACGATTGCATCATCTGTATCAGAGCTGTCGGCCTGTTGATTCTTTTTGGCCGACTGCTTTTTTGAGGAAGTGTTCCCCATAGATTTCTTGACATAAGTGTCAAGATCACCTTGCTCAGCCAGGCGGTCCCGATACCGCGTGAGACTGATGCAGTCATTGGTGTGATGACCAACATCTTCATGATAATCACAGAATTTTTCTTGGTTCCGATTGTTTGCAGAACCCTTCATGGGGACCGGCTTCTTAATTGAGATCCGTCCCTTGATTTCCTTTAGGATAAATTGGCTATCCTTGTTAAACGCATACTTTGGGGAGTATGGTTTGAATTCTTTTTTCTTTTTCTGGGACGGCTGTTTAGAGGAATCAGCCGCCCAGACCTCTTTTCTCTTCTCATCTTTGTTTGACGACTGTTTCTGTCGTCCTTCTCTTTTGTCGGACCTTCTGCCGTCTGACTGTTTTACCGTATTACAAAGATCAGTCGCCTGTATATAGGCTTCCGCTTCAATCAAGGCCTCTTGAAGAGTCGCCACCCTCTTTCGGACCAAATCAAATTTGAAGGTCGACCCGTCTTTGAGACCTCTGAAAAAGTCAGTATAGGCTACTTCATCCGGTAACCCTTGAATCTATATTCTCATCAGGTTAAACCGCCTGATGTAAGAACGAAGCCCCTCCTTCTCGCCCTGCTGAATTGTTCCTAAATCAAGGGTCGTCTTCTTCGCAGGGATGTTCATGGCGAAGTTGGAGGTGAATAAGTAAGCAAGCGTCCTGAAGTTATTTACACAACCAGTCGGCAGGTTGCCGAACCATTGTTGTGCGATTCCTTTGAGAGTCGCTGGGAAACACTTGCACCAAGTGGGATCATCCAACCCTTGAAGGTACATCAGGTTGGTGAATGCCATCAGATGGTCTTCTGGGTTAGTAGTGCCGTCATAGGCGCCTACTAATACATTTTTCACTTTGGCCGGCTGAGCGGCTTCAGTAATTTCCTTGGAGAAGGCCGACGGCTGTTCACCAAGTCTAAGCAACCGTAGCTGTCAGTCCATAGGTTGGACATTTTTTGCTGCATGTCCACCAAACGGAGGTGGCTGTAAAAAATACTATTGTTGCGGTACAAACGGTAAGTTTGGTACCGCCTGGTCGCTATGAAAGCCAGACTGACGGGAGGTGTCGCCTGACTGACTCTCATGATACGACTGAGTATGCCTCATCGAGGTATTTCGCAGACTGTCTTGGAGGTTTGAAGTAGAGGCCGACTCTGACAATCGGTCACTCTTCTTCTGCTCTAGCAGTAGCCGAGCGTCTGTGAATGTTTTCCTCGACCCGTCCGCCTGAATATGACGAACAGGTTTCCTATTTCCTGGAGTAGGAAAACGGTATTTTGTGAAATCAAGGGCAGTCGGCTCCCGCTTCCTAGATTTAGGATAAGGAGTCGCCTCTCGCCCTTGAACTGGCTTCCTCTTCTGTGAAGTGGAGGGTTTCTTAGCCGACTGCTCCTTGTCCAGAGCAGGCGGCTTCTTGTTGATCAACTCTTGAATTTCTCCCTTGAAGTCCCTCATGAAGGTCATGAGTTCACTCCTTGTGATGGGAGCAGACCCATCAGTCGGCTGTTGCCGAACAGGCGATGCGCCTGCTGGCTCGCTTCCTGTATGAAGATGTTCCCGCTCCCTCCTTTCGGTAAGACGGGTACGTCGGGCCCTTAGGGTCCCGTCTGAAGCTGTGTGAGCTTCAACTTCAAATTCATTCTCAGTATCGTGGTCCGACTGAACTAGAGGGTCGTCCAGGGGACGTCTCTCTTCAGGAGTCGGTACAAACGTGGATGCCATCTCAGAAGTACTCTCCCCACAGACGGCGCCAAATGTTTCGGGGTTTTCTGATGTCCTGCGGGAGAGTTACAATTCCGAGACTGGAACCGGACGCCTGTACCTGCAAAACAAACGGAGACTCCTTGTGGTGGGAGCTCCGCCTCCAACGATCAAGTTAGTACTTGTTTGATGAGTAATAAATGCGGAAAGTAAAGGTGGGAGATCTGGTTCCTCTAGGGGAGGAGTGATCAATGTGTTTAGACTTCTCTAGGTGAGAGTCATCAATTACTGAATTTTTAGCGTAATCCCCCTCTTAATGAGGATTAAGGGAGGTATTTATAACCTTGGGAAACGTGCCAATCCTAGGTTTAGGTTAACCTAGGGCTGATTGGGCTTCCCTCGGAAGTTGGGCCTGGGTGGCCGGTTTCTCCATTAGGAATGGAGTATGCCACGTGTCATGACATAATAGGTCCAAGGTGGACGAATAAGCGTGTGCCACGTGGCAAGCCCTGACAGTTCCAACTGGGGGAAACTTGGCAGGACCTGATTGGCCCACGTGGCGCATTCCGATTGGTGGGAGCAAAATCCCCTAATCACCTCTCTTTAAAGAAAATGAAAGGCACCCTAGATAATGAAACTATGACTGTTGTCAATCAAGTAGCGGAGGTTGGGGATGCCCAACCCCGTGAAAAGCAATGAAAACTTTATGCTGGAACTGTTATGGGCTTGGCAACCCATCAACAGTTAAAGCTCTCCAAGATTGGAGTTGGAGAGATAGGCCAAATATTGTTTTTGTTATGGAAACAAAGATTAATTCTCGTCGTTTAGAGGTAATTCGTAATCAATGTGGTTTGGTTAACGGTATTTGTTTGAGTAGTGTTGGGAGGTCAGGAGGTTTGGGTCTTTGATGGAGAGACTTGAATGTGGTGGTTGTTTCCTACTCGGCCCACCATATTGAGGTAGACGTTTGTGATGAGAATGGAGCTCCATGCTGGAAGTTCGTAAGGGTGTACGGATGGTCGGAAACGGTGAATAAATTTCGTACATGGGAATTAATTCGTGGCATTCATGCGGGCTGCTCTATACCAATGATCTTTGGTGGTGACTTCAATGAAATTTTGGGGTTGTCGAGGGGAAAGACCGATGGATGTTTTTTGGAATGTGTTGGATGATTGTGGCCTTCGTGAACTTGGCTTTAAGGGCAACTAATTTACGTGGGAAAGAGGACTCTCAATGGAGAACTTGGTGCGTGAGAGGCTTAACAGATATGTAGCTTCGACTGGGTGGCGCTCTTTGTTCCCTTATACTGAGGTAATCAACTTCCCTATTTTCTATTCGGATCATGCTGCTATCTTAATGAAGGCTGGACAGAGTACTGAATGCAATAAAAAAGGGAAGCTATTTCGATTCGAAGCATCTGGCTTTCGAATGATGAGTGCAGCAAGGTTGTTTCGGATGCATGGTTGTGTGGCGCCTCCGAACCTATGCATAAGAGAATAGCGAGGGTGGGGGAGGATCTCTCTTTTTGGGCTGGCCGTAAGTTTGGAAGTATAAAGAAGAAAATACAAAAGGCCAAAAACAAGCTTTAGGATGCTCAAGGGGGCTGTTTTGATGCTGTCATCTTGAGAGGTGTATTAATATTAAACAGGAAATCGATGAGCTCCAGAGACTTGAAGAGTCATATTGGCACATGAGAGCACGAGCAAATGAACTACGAGATGGGGATAAAAATACTAAGTATTTCCATCACAAGGCAAATCAGAGAAGATCAAAAAATTTCATCTCGGGTTTGTATGATAATGAAGGAGTATGGAGAAATTCGGTGTCTGAGATGGATGCGATCATAGGGGATTATTTCGGGTCCCTATTTAAAATGGACAGCCCATGTGAGTTCACGGAGGCTATTGCAGGTATTAATAACCCACTGGTGACGGAGGATATGAGGGCAGAGTTGGAGAAGGAGCCAACAGGGGAAGAGGTCAGAACCGCATTATTCCAAATGCACCCAAACAAGGCCCCGGGACCGGACGGTATGCATGCACTATTTTTTCAAAATTTTGGGGGACCATGGGTGGAGACGTGATAAATTTTGTGAAAAGTTGGTGGCAGGGGGAGGTGGAATTGAGTGAGATTAATCGTACTTGCATTGTCTTGATCCCGAAATGTAATGACCCAAAGCGAATGACGGATTTCAGACCAATCAGTCTATGCAATGTCTTATATAAAATTGTTTCAAAGACTCTAGCAAATAAAATGAAGAATATGCTCGCCTCAATTATATCCCTGAATCAAAGCGCTTTCGTTCCAAATAGGCTCATTACCGACAATGCCCTGATTACTTTCCAGGTGTTCCATGCTATGAAGAGGAAAGGGGAAGGACAGGAAGGGACGATGGCTTTGAAACTTGACATGAGAAAAGCTTATGATAGGGTGGAGTGGAGCTTTCTTGAGAGGGTCATGCAAAAAATGGGCTTCCCGCAATCATGGATTGTCCGAATCATGCAATGTCTAGCGAGTGTCTCTTTCTCCTTCAAATACAATGGTGGGATTTCGGACTCAATGATTCCAACCCGAGGGTTACGGCAAGGTGATCCAATTTCTCCCTATTTATTCTTGATTTGTGCTGACGTGTTCTCTATGTTACTAACAAAGGCGACCAATGAGAAAATGATTCATGGTGCTCGCATTTGTAGAGGAGCCCCTAGAGTGTCACATCTTTTCTTTGCGGATGATAGTATCTTATTTGCGAAAGCTACATTGAATGAATGCTCTAGAATTGCTGATTATCAGGGTGTATGAAAGGGCATCGGGTCAAAGTGTGAATCTTAGTAAAACTGAGGTAGCTTTTAGCAAATGTGTGTCGTTGGATAGAAGAAGAGAAATTATTGATACTTTACGAGTTAGAGAGGTCAATAAACACGAAAAATACCTTGGTTTACCAACGATTATTGGGAAATCAAAAAAGGCTATTTTTGCATGTTTAAAAGAGAGAATATGGAAGAAGCTACAAGGGTGGAAGGAGAAATTGCTATCTCACCCGGGCAAAGAGGTCCTCATCAAAGCAGTAGCACAAGAAATTCCCACATATATGATGAGCATGTTCAAAATCCCAGATGGCCTAATTAATGAAATTCATTCCTTGTTGGCAAATTTTTGGTGGGGCTCGAATGGGTCGGAAAGGAAAATGCATTGGCAAAAATGGGAGGATCTTTGCCTCCCAAATCCATGGGTGGCATGGGGTTCAGGGACCTGCGAGTTTTTAACCAAGCTCTCCTAGCAAAACAAGGGTGGAGACTCTACAATAACACCAACTCCCTACTATATGGTGTCCTAAAAGCTAGATATTATAAGAAATCTGATTTTATAAATGCGGCAAGGGGACATGATCCAAGTTATAGTTGGCGTAGTATATGGGGTGTGAAGGCCCTTCTCATTGACGGATTGAAATGGAGGGTAGGGAATGGATCATCCATCAAGGTGTGGGAGGACGCATGGATAGCAGGCCAAGGGTCTCATCTCGTTCCTACCCCCAAAGCCAGATAGCAACCCTGACCTTACAGTTGATGAACTGATTGATTTGGAAAGAGGGTGCTGGAATTTGGATGTTCTGAGTGAGACTTTTGCTGAGGAAGATATACAAGCAATTCTGAGTAGTCCAATCTCGAGTGATATGCCACATGACAGCCTCTATTGGTGGCCTAATCCGAGTGGCAATTATACTGTTAGGAGTGGATATTGGCTGGGCAGGCTCGATGTTCTGAGGTCCTAGGAAGTGATACATGGCACAACTGAAGAGGAGGTTTGGAGCTTGATCTGGAACATGAAGGGACCCCCTAAATTGAGTCATTTTTTGTGGCGAGCTTGTAAAGGGTAGATTGTAGTGGGTGAGGTCCTTCTTAGGCGACACATTAGCGAGTCAGGGAGATGCAATGTATGTGGGTGTAGTGTGGAATCAATATTGCATTCGATATTTGTTTGTAAGCACCCAAGGGAAGTATGGAGATGTAGTGAATTTGGGGATCTATTGAATGAAAGTCCTGCGACATGTCTTGCTGACTTGTTGTGTTGGTTTGCGAAAAAGGTTAGTACAGAACAGATGCGTGTCTTCACATCGCTTTGTTGGGCAGCATGGCATTGCCGAAACAAGCATATATTCGAAGGACCTGGAGAAATAAGAGCAGTGGAGATTGCTAGGGGCTTTGTGTGTTTCTCATCAGATTATGGGATGTATAACTCGAAGCTAAAGGGTGGAGAAATGAGAAAAAATGGTTTAGCAAGCTCACGGTCCTTACCCCCTGCTGGGGTTGTGAAGTTAAACGTAGATGCTCATGTAAGGGAAGGGGCTGGGGTCCAATTCGGTGCTGTAATTCGTGATGAGAATGGGACGTTGCTGGCTGCTGCAGTAAAGAAGTGTGAGGTACGGTGGTCGTCAGACATGGCTGAGGTTGGAGCTATGAGATACAGGTTGGAATTGGCAAGAAGACTTGGCTTTGAGAAGGTAGCTCTGGAAAGTGATGCTCTCACAGCTGTTCGAGTAATCCAATCGAAGCAAATTGGGGCTGCACCCATTTTTCTCTTGTTTGACGATGTTCTGAAATTAAGTAATGAGTTTTCTTTTTTCTCTTGTAATCATGTCAAAAGAGCAGGAAATACGGTAGCCCAATTCTGTTGCTAGATGGGATACTAGTAACTCCTCGGAAAGGGTCTGTATGAACGCTTTTCCCCAAAGCCTACAAACTTTGGTGGATCTTGATTTAATATAAGCTTGCTCTTTCCTTTGCTTCAATATATATATATATATATATATATATATATATATATATATATATATATATATATATATATATATATATATATATATATATATATTGCTTATTTTTGCTTTTTTGTCAACATTCCAATATATAATTATATATTTGTGTGGAATAATAGAGCATGATCTATTTCTAGTTAAGATAGCCATAAGTGAGGTTTTCATCCAATGAGGTTTGGTATTCAAACCTCTTTGTATGCATTTTTTTTTATGATGACGTGTAATTAAAGTTCTTAGTGATGTGACGCAATGCTAGTGTAAAAAGGGGCATATGTAGCACATAAACCTTCTTAAAAACGCTTTTTAATATATAATATAGATAGATTCCATCCCTCTTTAACTCTCACTAGTTCTCTCCCTTTTTGCCTCTTTTTCTATCTTCCTCATACTTGACCATCAACCCTAAGCTACAAATTTCCTCATTCCTTATTTTCCCTCCAATTAACAAGATCATATAACGTTATAAATAAAACCAAAATTTTTAAATTGTAAATGATGTTGAGGAAATTGGTAAAAAGATGGTGGTTCTGATTGGGTGGTTGGGGGATGGTGGCAGATTGGTGGACATGGTGATTGTGAAGGAGAAGGGAGAAAATTAAGGCATCACATGAAATCACGTGATACATTTGATGATCAACTCCAAAAAGTGACAATTGAAGCCCTAAATACAAGCAAATCTCTCGATAAACAACAAAAACCACTTCTAAAAGTCGCAAAATGCCACTTTTTCTTTTTTAAATAATTATTTCTCATAATTGATCGAACGTAAAGATCTCATTAAATAATTTTCAATTATATATATGTAGAAGAATGAGAAGAGTAGATAAAACTATAAAAAGGCCAAAATGGAGTAATGAAGCAAAGGTTAAAAGTAAAAGAAAGCATAAGAAGAAGACGAGTGGTCCTTTCAAGGGTGGTTTGTCTTTGCAAGGCAATGGATAGAGCATAGAGAGGTAAGGGGGCCATAAACAACTCAGACTAAACACAATTTGCCAATTTTAAATGACCCACTCTTTCTTTCTTTTAGATTTGCCAGCAAATCCTGAATGCTATATAGGACGACTCTATTGGGTAATGCTTGCATTATTAATTTTTTAACTTAAATGGGAGCTAGTACATAATAATATCAAATGCTTCTTAATTTCTTATTATTAAGAATAAATTATAGTTAGGTAATACATTTTTTAATAGGAATTCATAGTCATCACATATATACATTATTCTACAATTTCTGAAATTTGTTTCTATCTTTAAACTCATACTTGTTGATTATGATTAGATATATAAATATGTAACTACGTGCATTAATAACGAAGCAAAAGAACATAAACAAAAAACAGGACCTAATAAATATTGTAATTAACATTGTTGTTGTAAGGTATTATAAAATAATGAGATAAATGATAAGTAGTTTCGTATAGAAAAAGTACGTAGTGTATATTTACAAAGAGTAATTGTGAAATTCAATTACAAAAGTAAATACTTACAAATCAATCAATTACAAAAGTAAATACTTACAAATCAATCAAGAATAATATATATTTATATTCGAACAATAAAAAATAGTTCTCAATTTTTCTTTCTTTACAAAAGGAAACTTGTTTAATTAGCTAGGGAAGCTAGCCTACTAAGAATGTGACCCATTCATGAAAGTAGTTTGCAATTGCAATTATTATAATCTGTTTTTGGTGTATGATTCCTTCCAAATCTCTCAATTGGAGTGGATCCCTTTATCTATAATTAGAAGGCCATATCTTGGAAGATGACTTAAAATCTTTGGAAACGGACAAAACTTCCTCTCCTCTATTTCAACTTTTTGTTTTTGTCTCCATCTCCATTTAGTCTGCTCCTTCATCAAGATACATAGTTTTAGGTAAACTATGAGAAATTGGTTATCTATTAAATTAATTCTCAGTGTTATAATAATAATAAGGCATATAAATTTTTTTTTTTTGGGTAATAGAATAATAAAAAGTTTCAAACCTAAATTATTTTTAGTGGGATAAAGAAGTATTAAAAAAAATAGGTGTTTTTTTTTTGACAGATACAAAAAAACAAAAAAAAAAAATTAAAAAAAAATTGAGAAGTTTTTACAAGTGAAAGGAGTTACCAAACTGTAACAAACAAAGAAAAAAGTAGACAAGCAAATTAAATTGAGACAGAGAGTAGATACGATTAGAGGTGTCAATTCGAATGATTGGATCGGGTCTGATGAGATTGGGTCGGGTCGGGTCGGGTTAATTTTTAAAGCTGAGTTATGCTAACTTATTATATTCACACGAGTTCAAATCTGAATCGGATATTTTTCGGAACGATTTCGAATCGGACCAGGTCGGGTGTGATTTTGACACCTCTAGATACGATTGCCTTTTCTTTTATACTGTGTTTATATCACTTAATAAAATGATAAAATAAAATAGATTACTGTAAAGGAGAGAAATGAGACAAATGCAGTTGGAGGTGCTTGTGCTTGACAGTTAGGCAGGGTGGTACAATGATGATTTGTAGGAGAAAATGACATAGTTACATTACCACACTACTATAGCTAGCTATCGTACACCTTGCATGAGGATTTCTTCCACTGCCTCCATTTATTCATTCTATTCTTCCCATATACTTCATCAGCAACTTGTTTTTCCATATCTAATTTTATGGGCAAGATATGGAGGGTATTAATTTTATTTTGTATATATACTCCCTTCGTCTCCATTTGATTGTCACTTTTAATAGAAAATTACAGAAATTAAGGAAGTACATGGGAACTGATTAGGGGATTTTTATCCACCAATCACCGTCTGACAAGTGGACCAACCAGGTTCCGCCACGTGTCCTTCACATAGGCCAATAGGAGTCTGCCACGTGTCAATCACAGATACGTCCTCTACGGACCAATCGAGGCACGCCACGTGTCCACCCATGCCAAATGGGAAAACCGGCCAACAAGGCCCAATCCTGTCTAGAGGCCCGGTCAGCCCTAGGTTTACCCTAAACCTAGAGAGTGGCACGCTTCTCAAGACTATAAATACTTAATTAATCCTCATTAATCCGGGGATCAAGCAATTGAGAGAGCAATTGATCAAGCAATTAATCTCACCTGAAGAACAGAACAGAAACATTACGGAACACTAATAACCGGCTAATCTCGCTAACAAAGCAGATTACCAACATTAAACACTCTCACCTAGAGAGGTCTTATTACTTTAATTTCCGTATTAATTACTCCTTAATCAGGTACTAACTTGACCGTTGGAGGCGGAGCTCTCAGGAGTCTCCGTTATTTTGCAGGTACAGGCGTCCGGTTCCAGTCTCGGAATTGTAACTCTCCCGCAGGACATCAGAAAACCCCGAAACATTTGGCGCCGTCTGTGGGGAGAGTACTTCAGAGATGGCATCCAAGTCTGTACCGACTCCTGAAGAGAGGCGTCCCCTAAACGACCCTCAAGTTCAGTCGGACCATGACACCGAAAGTGAATTTGAAGTTGAAACTCATACATCTCCAGACGGGACCCTAAGGGCCCGACGTACCCGTCATACCGAAAGGAGGGAACGGGAGAATCTTCAAACAGGAAGCGAGCCAGCAGGCGCACCGCCTGCTCGGCAACAGCCGACTGATGGGTCTGCTCCCATCACAAGGAACGAACTCATGACCTTCATGAGGGACTTCAAGGGAGAGATTCAAGAGTTAATCAACAAAAAGCCGCCTGCTTCAGTCAAAGAGCAGTCGGCCAAGAAACCTTCCACTTCACTGAAGAGGAAGCCAGTTCAAGGGCGAGAGGCGACTCCTCATCCTAAATCCAAGAAGCGGGAGCCACCTGCTCTTGATTTCACAAAATTCCGTTATCCTACGGGAAATAGGAAACCGGTTCGTCATATTCAGGCGGACGGGTCAAAGCAAACATTCACAGATGCTCGGCTACTGCTAGAGCAGAAGAAGAGTGACCGATTGTCCGAGTCGGCCTCTACTTCAGACTTTCAAGACAGTTTGCGAAATGCCTCGATGAGGCATACTCAGTCGTACCATGAGAGTCAGTCAGGCGGCACCTCCCGTCAGTCCGGCTTTCATAGTGCCCAGGCGGTACCAAACTTACCATTTGTGCCGCAACAACAGTATTTTATGCAGCCACCTCCATTTGGTGGACCTGCAGCAAAAAACGTCCAACCTATGGACTGGCAGCTACGGTTGCTTAGACTTGGTGAACAGCCGTCGGCCTTCTCCAAGGAAATTACTGAAGCCGCTCAGCCGGCCAAAGTAAAAAATGTACTAGTAGGCGCCTATGACGGCACTACTAACCCAGAAGACCATCTGATGGCATTCACCAACCTGATGTACCTTCAAGGGTTGGATGATCCCACTTGGTGCAAGTGTTTCCCAGCGACTCTCAAGGGAATCGCACAGCAATGGTTCGGCAACCTGCCGACTGGTTGTGTAAACAGCTTCAGGACGCTTGCTTACTTGTTTGCCTCCAACTTCGCCATGAACATCCCTGCGAAGAAAACGACCCTTGATTTGGGAACAATTCAGCAGGGCGAGAAGGAGGGGCTTCGTTCTTACATCAGGCGGTTCAACCTGATGAGAATACAGATTCAAGGGTTACCGGATGAGGTAGCTTATACTGACTTTTTTAGAGGTCTCAAAGACGGGTCTACCTTCAAATTTGATTTAGTTCGAAAAAGGGTGGCAACTCTTCAAGAGGCCTTGATTGAAGCAGAAGCCTATATACAGGCGACTGATCTGTGTACGATAAAACAGTCGGACGGGAAAAGGTTCGACAAAAGAGAAGGACGACAGAAACAGTCGTCTAACAAAGATGAGAAAAGAAAAGAGGTCTGGGCGGCTGATTCCTCTAAACAGCCGGCCCAGA